CCTTGGGTGTATGTGGCTGGCGCCTTAGCCGCTTGAGCCACAGGCGCCGAGCCAACACATCTATTTTAAAAAGCAAGTTATTTTTATTTGATTTCTACAGCTTTGCTCCCAAAATGCATGGTTCTAAGTCGCTTACCTTGTCCATTTCCACTATTATCAACATCAGCCAAACACAAACAGCCTTGATCAAATTCTTCTTTCTCCCCCAGAACAGTAGACCACCAATCACGGGCTTTAAATAAAGACATTTCTTTCACTCTAAAAAGAAAATATTTATTTATAATAAAAATCCACTTCACACCATGAATTAATTATCTCTTAAGGCACAGCAAATTAAACTTGGACACTTTAGAGAAGAACATTTCCACATTAACTTTAATTTTTAATATTTTATACACATATAAGAAACCATAAGTTCAAATGGTAAGAAGCATTAATCAGATATTTTGCAACACCATTAGTAAATTAGGCTGAGAAATTATATACATTTATGTTGGACTGATTCTTTCTTTGCAGACACTTAGAAAAGAACCACACAACATTACAAGAAAAAAAAAATTCTTTGGAGATGCACTTACCAGCACTATTTAGCATATAAGTCTAGCAAAATGCCTAATTTCTTCTCTATCTAATCATTAGAGAAAATACTCCAGAGTTGGCCCTCTGAAAACTTGGAGAATTGGTTCCAGGACCCCAGCAGATATAAAATACACAAATGCTCAAGTCTTTTATTTACAATGATTTAGAATCCAAGAATATGGGGAAAGGGGAGAGGGAGGGAAGGGGAGGGGGAAGGGTGGGGGGAGCGAGGGTGATTGGTGGGATCACGCCTATGGTTCATCTTATAAGGGTACATGTGAATCTTTCTAAATGTAGAATATAAATGTCTTAACACAATAACTAAGAAAATGACATGAAGGCTATGTTAACCAGTTCTTTTATATAGAATTTCAAATTCTATATAAAAACAGCACACTATACCCCATGACTGTATTAATGTACACTGCTATGATTTAATAAAAAACAAAAAAAAACTAAAATTCAAAAAAAAACATAAAAAATAAAATGGAGTCAGCTCTCCATGTTGACTGGTTTTGATTCGTAGCTAGTTGAATCTGTGGATGCAAAACCCAGGGACATGGAGGGCCAGTTATAACTCCTGTTACAAAGAGTTACTAAGATGAACAAATGAGATCAAATGACTAATACTACAGTTATTACATTAATATTATAGGCACTATAAAAGCATTCACTCTTTTCCCCATTCTAATTGTAGAAAGGCAAGATGGAAGAGGGAAATGTACACCAAAAAGAAACAGAAAAATTGGACTACAGGTCTATTTATGCCACTAACTGTGTGTCTCCTCGGGCAACCCACACAACCTCTCTGTCCTTTGATTTCTTTTTTTTTTTTGGCGGGGGCTGGGTTTGAACCCACCACCTCCGGCATATGGGACCAGCGCCCTACCCTTTTGAGCCATAGGCGCTGCCCTGTCCTTTGATTTTTTATCTAAAATAAGCATATACCAGCTCTACCTACTGTAGAATTACTGATATGGTACATGTGAAAACGTGTGGAACTTTTGCCTCCACAAAAAATATTTTAAAATTAGTCAGGCATGGTTCGGCGCCTATGGCTCAAGTGGCTAAGGCGCCAGCCACATACACCTAAGGTGGTGGGTTCAAATCCAGCCCAGCCCCGCCAAACAACAATGATGGCTGCAACCAAAAAATAGCCGAGCGTTGTGGCGGGCGCTTGTGGTCCCGGCTACTTGGGAGGCGGAGGCAGGAGACTCGCTTGAGCCCAGGAGTTGGAGGTTGCTGTGAGCTTTGATGCCACTGGCACTCTACCCAGGGGAACAGCTTGAGGGTCTCTCTCAAAAAAAAAAAAAAATTAGTCAGGCATGAAGGGAGGATTGCTTGCGCCCAGTTCAACAGTTCAATGTTCCAGTAAGCTATGATCATGTCATTGTAATCTAGCCCGGGAGAAAGACTGAGACCCTGTCTCTCAAAAATAAAAATTTCAAAATGACAAGTTTAAAGAAAAAAAAAAGACAAGAAAAAAGAAACAAAACTCCATCTAAGGTCCTCTATGCTAAGAAAGAAATTAGCCAGATAAAGACAGGATGTTGACAGAAGTGAAGGAAAAATACCTAACAGGTAAATAAATTTATAATGAGTTTCAACATATAGGTATGTAGGAGAGTTTCTTTCTTCTTCTTCTTTTTTTTTTTTTTTTTTTTTTTTTGGAGACAGAGCCTCAAGCTGTCACCCTGGGGAGAGTACTATGGCATCACAGCTCACAGCAACCTCCAACTCCTGGGCTTAAGCGATTCTCTTGCCTCAGCCTCCCAAGTAGCTGGGACTACAGGCACCAGCCACAATGCTCAGCTATTTTTTGGTTGCAGTTTGTCATTGTTGTTTGGCAGGCCCAGGCTGGATTCAAACCTGCCAGCTCTAGTTTATGTGGCTGGCGACTTAGCCACTTGAGCTACAGGCACTGAGCCTCTTTTCTTTCTTTTTTTTAGAGATGAGGTCTATGTTGGCCAGGCTGGTTTCAAGCTCCTGGCCTCAAGCAATCTTCCCACCTCCAGCCACTTGAATGGCTGAGATTAACAGGTATGAGCCACCACATCTGGCTTGTAGGAGTATTTCTAAAAAATGTTTGCATCACTCATTATAGCTAATGACATTATATAACCATACAAATTGGCCTTTAATATTATCAAAGGAAAAGCAGGAGTCAGTTATCCAAAAGGAAGTGAAAAGAATGTGTCTAGAAAGAGGGGGGAGTGCAGTATATATTGAATGCTGATGATATATCATAATATCATTACATACAATGTCTAGAATAGGCAAATTCATAGAGACAGACAGTAGATTAGTAGTTGCCTAGGGCCAGGGGGTGGTGAGGGAAGAGGGTAGGGAGTCATACCTAAAGGACATGAGGTTTCCTTTTGAGGTCATAAAAATATTCTAACATTGATTATGGTAATAGCTGAACATATCCAGGAACACACAAAAACTCCCCAAGGAAGATGTGCAACTAAATTATGTGTTATATTATGAATATTATGTGTTAAATTAGTAACAGAATATATATTTAGTTATATATATAAAGGAACTATATTTCAATAAAGCTGATTTTTGTGTTTTGTTCTGAAAAAGAGTCTTACTCTGTTGCTCAGCCTAGAGTGCCAGGGCATCAGCCTAGCTCACATCAACCTCAAACTCCCAGGTCCAAAGGATCCTCCTTCCTTGGCCTCTGAATAAATGGGACTACAAGTACCCACCACAATACCAGCGAATTTTTTTTCTATCTTTTTAGTAGAGACTAGGGTCCCACTCTTACTCAGACTGGTCTCAAACTCCTAAGCTCAAGTGACCCACCTGCCTCAGCATCCTAAACTGCTATGACTATAGGAGTGAGCTACCACACCCAGCCAATAAAGCTGTTTTGTTTTGGTTTTTTTAGAGACAGACTCTCACTTTATCGGCCTCCGTAGAGTGCCATAACACCCGGCTATTTTTTTGTTGCGTTTTGGCCAGAGCCGGGTTTGAACCCACCACCCTTGGTATATGGGGCCGGCGCCCTACTCACTGAGCCACAGGCACCGCCCTAAGCTGTTATTTTTTTTAAAAGAGTAAATGGTGGCTCAGGGCCTATAGCTCAGTGGCTAGGGCGCCAGCCACATACACCAGGGCTGGCAGGTTCGAACACGGACTGGCCTGGCCTGCCCTGCCAAACAATGACAACTACAAAAAAGAAAAAAAAATAGCCGGGCATTGTGACAGGTGTCTGTAGTCCCAGCTACTTGGGAGGCTGAGGCAAGAGAATCACTTAAGCCCAGGAATTCGAGGTTGCTATGAGCTGTGACACCATAGCGCTCTACTGAGGGCAACATAGTGAGACTCTGTCTCAAAAAAAAAAAAAAGAATAAATGGTAATGGATACATGGCATTCATTTTACTGTTCTTTACTCTTTTATCTTTTAAATTACCCACAAAAAAAAATTCACTTTTTTTAAAGTAGGACACTCCTGTATCTAATTTACCACTAAGAAGGATAGCAAATTCAATTCAGAAGGTTAATAAAAGAAATTCCACCCTTTCTCCTGGAAGACAAGCCATTGAGAAAAAGAAAAATTAGACATAAATTAAGACTTAGATAAAATGCTAATTTATATTCCAAATTGAGAAAGATATACCATTGACCTTGAGATACCAAGGTAAGTAGTTGGGTGAGAGTGGTCGGGTCCTGACAGGAAGAAGAAAGGTAAGGAACGACAGTAACAGGGCATTTTTCAGTCATGAAACCTGGATGTTGGGTTACAAAACACAAACAAATATCATTTCAAACAACTAAAAGTAAAATATGAATTTATTTATTTATTCTGGCATTTTATCCCCTATTCAATGTTGATTTCTAGTTCCTCAGTGATTTTTCTTAAATAAGTGGAAAATAAGAACAAAAAATCAGGTTTTCAATGACTAACACTTCCCTTCACCTTCAAAGAAAATAATAGCTAAGGGAGGCACCTGTGGCTTAGTGAGTAGAGCGCCGGCCCCATATACCAAGGGTGGCAGGTTCAAACCCAGCCCCAGCCAAACTGCAACAAAACAATAGCCAGGTGTTGTGGTAGGCGCCTGTAGTCCCAGCTGCTCAGGAGGCTGAGGCAGGAGAATCGCCTAAACCCAGGAGTTAGAGGTTGCTATGAGCTGTGTGACACCACGGCACTCTACCAAGGGCCATAAAGTTAGACTCTGTTTCTACAAAAAAAAAAAAGAAAGAAAGAAAATAATAGCTAATATTTTACCATTTACTAAATCCCAGGCTTGCAAGTATTCTCTTTTAATCTTCGTCACAGAACTACAGTCAGATATACTTGAATAGAGAGGTTAAGAAACCCAACCAAGTAGTCACAACTAATAAGTGCTATGCAGTTCCTAAACCCAGACTGGTCTACTCCAGAACTCTAAACAAATGACCTTTGGGGCCATCCCATGTAGTCTATCACAGCAATAGTTCTGTTTATATTAATTCTGATCACTACAAGTTCAAACTGCAGAAAAGTATTTCATACATTTACAGTGTTAAAGGATGACTATAAAATAATAATTTGAAGGTTTTAACAGCTGCATTCCTATAAATAGATACAAAAGATTAGTTTCAAATGCCTTCCTAGAATAATAAATACTACATAATCTTTTTATCCCCTAATCTCCAGAAATTTCCTTACCACTTGACACTTTCCTTTTTGTTTGTAATACTTATTCATATACCTGTTCACATCCATACCAACTTTACTGAAATGTAGGTTTCATTTAAAAGGTGGAAGTTTTAACACCTCATTGACCTCATCCTACATTGTGTAAGGATAAATAGAAGAATAGCTGTGACAATGGTAACCCCAAAGAAACTTGTGGGAAGAACTTATGGGCTTTAAGGCAAGTTCTAGAATTAGGAGGCTAAGACTATGAAGCTAGTATTCGTATTTGGAGCTTTGCTAGTGTCCACTTCAAATTTCAGAAAGTAGGAATCAGGTCCACCAAAGAAAGATAAAAAATGCACATGGAGTTAGAAGAATGTTGTTTTTCAGAGCAATAACACGGGGGCTCAGTGTTGAGATTTTCATTAAAAGATGCAAAAGGCGCAAAAGCTGTAGGGGGACAGACCAGGGTTTAATTTGGACCCCACATTCTAGCCATATGACCTTAGACAAGTCCCTCATTCTGTACTACCATAACAGTTCCAGGGGGAAGGACAAAATGGCTCAACCCATAGCAAGTACTCAATAAATGTGAGATAATTATCAGCAATAACCTAGTAGTAGTAATAATGGTGATAACATTAGTGTTAGTAGTGATAGTGATGGTTATGGTAGTATGCTCAGAGTCACAAATACAAATGTCAAGCTGACTCTCTGGACTGAATTTTTTTTTTTTTTTGAGACAGCATCTCACTTTGTCACTCCTGGTAGAGTGTCATGGCCTCATAGCTCATAGCAACCTCAGACACTTGGGCTCAAAAGATCCTCTTACCTCAGCCTCCTGAGTATCTGGGACTATGGGTACCCACCACAAGATCTGGCTATTGTTTGTTTGTTTGTTTTTTCCTTTTGAGACGGGGTCTCCCTCTAGCTCAGGCTGGTCTCAAACTCATGAACTCAGGCCATCTACCTGCCTTGGCCTTCCAGCGTGCTGGGATTACAGTCGTAGGCCACTGTGCCTAGCCAGGACTGAAATTTTAAATAGGACACCAAAAACACTGATAGAAATCTTTAATGGAAATGTTATTAATCAACAAGGATGTTTTGTAATAACTTCATTATTTCAATAAATTTGAAAAAATATTAGAAAGTATTCTCAAAGATAAGACTTGCTACATAGCTCAAAAGACATAAAACTTCGGTAGAGTGTCATGGCGTCACAGCTCACAACAACCTCCACGTTTTGGGCTTAGAGAATTTATTGCCTCAGCCTCCCAAGTAGCTGGGACTACAGGCGCACCCACCATAACTCCCGCCTATTTTTGTTGCAGTTGCCATTGCTGTTTTAGCTGGCCGAGGCCAAGTTCGAACCGACCACCCACGGTATACTGGGCAGCACCCTACCCACTGAGCCACAGGCGCCACCCACATAAAACTTTTTAAATTACTATATACCACTGCTATTGGATTTTTCTCCTTTCAATGAGTATTTCCCTCAAGAAGCTGTACCATAACCGTTAAGTGAATAGTTATAATTTAAGCACAATTACACAAAATGAAAAATTCCTTAAACTCTCACAAATAACCTGTTAATTATTTTCAAAGTAATGTTTCCTGTTTTAATTCTTCTTTAGAAAAGTCTAAAATTTTTAAAGTTTCTTTTTTCTAATTCTTCAGTGTATTAACCCCCCCAAAACAGCATTTTCTTATCAAAATGCTAATAAATTACAAAATATTTCTGTTTATGAATGCTGGCAGACTTTAGTTAAGACCCACAGTTTTCCCTGCAGCATCTTTCAAACTGTGTATGTGTATGTGTTATGTGTGTACTTGTAAGATGTGCATACACATGAGATATGGCTTCCTTTGTTTTTGTTTCGTTTTGATTTTCACCAGATCACAGTTCAAGGGAGATGGGGTTTTATTTTTTAAATACAAGAGGGGCTCAAAAAACTCTGTCAGTTTCTCCAGGAAACTGAGGTCAATTGCAGGATTTGTTTGGGACGAGGCACTTATAAAAATCATCTCAGTTCATCTAAACTGCTGTGTCTGCAAAGAGAACAAAGAATAAAGAATAATCCTATTACATGAAGGATTAGGGTATTAGTACATGCATCCTACTTCAGTCATGGGCTGGGACCTGTTTTGACCATTTCCTCACAAACCTGTTGAAGTGACATAAGAGGATGCTCATGCACCACGTGACATTCTTCAATGGAATACTTAAAAATTCTCATCACTCTTGTCTCGAAGATGTTTACAGGATCTTACACACTCAGTGCTCATAGTCGTTGTCTGCAAACATCCCTGCGAACATCCTTCTTAAGAAGCCGATCACCGTACATTCCCAAAACCATTACACTGCATCGGAAGATCAGTATTCTCCACAAAATATGGAAAGGACACTCATGAACCTATAGTTTAATTGGACACATACTTTCTTACCTGATGCCAAGTCAAATGGGCTCTGCCCCACCTTTCTGCGAACCCCTTCTTCCGCAGATTTCCCTTTAAGAACGCCTGACAAGGGTCCCAGGGACGGAACAGAGAGAGCAAGAACACAGGGTGCAGAGTAAATCAACCCTTAGCTTCACTACTTCCTCTCGTTCTCCCGTTCGTATCTGTTCCACGTCTGGGGCAAAGAGCGAGTCCCACCAGGCAGCACGAGTTGGAGAGATTTCCCCAAGAAGCTCCCCTGCGCTCCCTGTCACCCCCAGAGACAAGCGGAGGAAACGGCATCTATCCCTCAGAAAGACTACACAGACGAGAACAACTGCAAGTCCTGCTGCTCACAAAGAGGAGGTAACCACGGCGGTGCCGACAGTGAGCGGGATGAAGCAGAAAACCGACAGCCTCAGCGGAAGGGACACCTCCCCAATCCAGCCTAACTCCAAGCCATCTTCGCCCTGTTGTCATAGCACTTTACAACGGACGCTACTGCGCAAGTCAGACGCTGCGCCGCGACGCCTTCTGGGGGTTGAAGTGCAGCGTGGCCGCAGCGTGGTAGGCGGAGAACGATTTCTGAGTGGGCCGCGGGTGAATTCTAATTTCTACTGGGGCGGGGATCATTTGAACCACAGCCTAGAACTCATTAGTGGAAGGAGATAATTAATGCAATTCTTTTCCTCAGGAAGACCCGCCTCGCGGCTGGGCACTGGGCGCAGACCACGCCCCCCCGCAGCGTCCCCAGCCCCGCCCCTCGACGCTCTTGGGTGGGGCCGTCCTCAGCTCTTGCTGATTGGTGGGCGGACAGGGCGGGGCGTTCCGCGCTTCGCGGTGGCGCGCGCTGTTGCACCTGGGGTATAGCTGCTCCAGGTGACCAGAGGCTCTACTCCTGGGAGGCTTTGGTTAGGACCGCTTGAGACCAGGAGACTAATGTAGGCAACGCATCTCTACAAAAAAATTTAAAAATTATCTTGACGTAGTGGCGCAAATCTGTAAGCTACTTGGGAGGCTGAGGTGGAGCTCTGGAGCGAAGTTCTAGGTTACTGTGAACTAGGATCACACCCTTGCACTCCAGCCTACGCGACAGAGCAAGACCTTGTCTCAAAAAAAAAGAAAAAAAATTAAGCAACTGAAATTTTTTACTTAAAAAATATTCCTCAATGTGAATCTTTCTAAATGTAGAATATAAATGTCTTAACAAAGTAACTAAGAAAATGACATGAAGGCTATGTTAACAGTTTGATGAAAATATTTCAGATTGTATATAGAACCAGCACACTGTACCCCATGACTGCATTAATGTACACAGTTGTGATTTAATTAAAAATATTCCTCATACATTTATAGGTGAAAAAAGTTTTAAAATACCATAAGACATTTAATCTTTTTCCTTTAAATTATGGAAAAATAGTGGAAGGAATGTTTCATAAAAACAGTAACAGTGGCCATTAAATAAACTGGTGACATGAATGTTTAATTTTTTAATGTTTCCCGACTTTTATGCATTGCTCATGTATTACCTTTGAAATTAGAATGAAAGTTTTTTAAGTAATAGAATGAAAATAAAGAACTACCTTGAATTAGTAATTTATGTTGCCACCATTTAAGAAATATAACTGCTGTTTTGTTTTTTTAAATCTCTACAAACAGAAACTTATGAAATCTATTTCTGAAATCTGTAATAGAGTCAACCTATTTTAGTGACGGTGTGAGATAGTTTGAAGAACACTATTTGCTGGAAAACCTGAGGTCATTACTCATTTGTAGCATGAAAAGTCTTTTTCTATTTTTTTTTTCATTTCTGTTGGTGCCAGCATTCCTCTTGAAGTTTATAAAAATAGTGGCATTTTTTTCCATCTTTGCGTGATATATGACTTTGCAGCTCCATTCTTTGAATCTGGATTTGTCCATATGACTTGCTTTGCCCAATGAGACATTAGTATACACAATGCAAGCAAAATCTTGAAACATGCTTATGCACTGGGGCTTGCCCACTCCTATTCTTCAGAATACTGCATCTACTTCCTTGTGAATAATCCTGGGGACACTTGCTGAATCATGAGAGAAATACTGTCAGGTAATTTATGTTGCCCAAATAGATATGTAAATGAAGCCATCCTAGAGTAATCAACCCAAGCATAGCCACCAGCTAACCACATCAAGTCAGCCCAGAGCAGAACTATCCACCCACCTACGTTATATTTTTATTTTTATTTTTATTTTTATTATATATATATATATATTTTTTTTTTTAGAGACAGTCTTACTTTGTCGCCCTTAGTAGAATGCTGTGGCGTCACAGCTCACAGCTACCTCCAGCTCCTGGATTTAGGCGATTCTCTTGCCTCGGCCTCAGGAGTAGCTAGGACCACAGGCACCCATCACAACACCCAGCTATATTTTGTTGCAGTTTGGCCAGTGCTGGGTTTGAACCTGCCACCCTCAGTATATGGGGCTGGCACCCTACCCACTGAGCCACAGGCGCTGCCCCTATGTTGCATTTTTAAATTCACACATGTTACAGACACAGAGACTATACCCATCATGGAGGTCATTTGTTTACTTAGCCAAGCACTCAATGAGTATAATATGTCCCAGGAACTATGCTAAGTATATTACATCATTTAATATTCATGACACAGATCTCAATATAATTTTTGCCTTAATGCATAGGACAAAATTAAGTTGGACAGAAATAATATCTAACCTTACCTATGTGTGATGATGCCCTGTGATATTTCTACCTTTTTAATATTTTCTTTCATTTTTTTTAAATATTTCTGACAGTTCCCTGAACTGATTTCACAATCCCCTAGTGACTCTCCTCCCACAGTTTGAAAAACATGAACATAGTATTTATCAATCCCAATAAATATTTATGGAGTGGATGAATGGCGTGTAGGCAAATACAGCACAAAAACAGCTACAGAATATGTGTGGCATCACAATGTGGTACCATATGGTAACTAGAAAGTACTCTTTAAAATTGAAATCTGATAATGACTCTCCACTACTTTATTTTCTCTGTTACCTTCTCAACCCTCTTAACTTTGACATCCAGGTCTTTTATAGGGTCTCTGCAAGACCCTCGCAACCCCATCCTATCTGCCTCTCCAGCCCCTTTGCTTCCTAGGATCTTACCCCATACTGGCTTTTTCTCCTCCTGTGCATAAAGCCTTTTTTCAAGCCTTATTTCACCTCCTGGGATACTTTATTCTTTGCTCCACTAGCTCCTACTGGTTTAAGCCTTTGCAGATTTGGCCCTTCCTCTAGGAAGACTCCATCTGTCTTCACAGAAATGATCGTTGAAACTTTAGGATGTGGGTAATTATTGGTTCAGCATTTTTCTAACATAAGCTTCATGAAGGCAAAGACCTGCTCATCCTCTTCATTTCGTGTTCAATGAACGAATGAATGAATGAGTCAGTGATTGAATGTTTCTGAGATTTTTATAAAATCGCCTCTTTTCCCTATCTTTTTAACCTTACATTTTCTGGCTGTCCCCAAGTTCTTTACTTTGTCCAAATTCCCTGTGGCACATGCCAGAGATAAATATTAAACAACACTCACCAACCAATCTTTTTTTTTCTTTTTTAATATAATTTAGATATATTTTTTTTTGAGACAGAGTCTCAAGCTATTTCTGTCAGTAGAGCGCTGTGACATCACAGCTCACAGCAACGTCAAACTCCTAGGCTCAAGAGATTCTCCTGGCTCAGCCTCCCAAGTAGCTTGGACTACAAGCACCTGCCACAGTGCCCCACTATTTTTTGTTGTTGTTGTTGTTGTTGTTGCAGTTGTCATTGTTGCTTTAGCTGGCTGTGGCTCAAACCTGCCAGCCTCAGTGCTCGTGGCCAGCGCCCCACCCACTGAGCTACAGGTGCCACTTCACCAACCTGTCTTGAACCAGATTTGTTCCTCTGGGAGGCTTCGTTGCTGGTCACACTTGCATGTCTCATGCCCACTGCCCTTAGGGTGGCTTCTTGTTCAGAAGGCTTCATACGCATTGATTGTGAGGCCTTCAGGAGGGCCCACCTCAAAAGCTGGCCAGACTATGTGGAAACTTACCATTAGCTGGAACTTAGACACAAGCTGGGACCAAGGACTCCATTGTTCAGATGCCCGAGCTGTTTAAGATCTTAGCACCCCCCAGAACCCTACCCTTCTACGTGATGCTATAGAAGTTTGCTCTAGACTCCAAAGCAGTGACTTTCAACCCTTGTGCCATGAGAGGATCTTAGGTATGCTGCAAACATTTTTAAAGATCATTGATTAAATTATTTTCAGAAAAGTTCCAAGCACAATATGTATATTCTTTTTTTTACTCTTTTTATTTGATCAACATAATTTAAGTGTGCTGTGGAAGTTTAACTACAGGTTCAAGTGTGCCATGAGATAAAAAAGGTTGAAAAACACTGCTCTAGAATCTAAGAAGGCAACCTCCTTGTGTTTCTGACAATTGAGATACACTACTGGTTTTTTCCCTTTCATATCAGGCCACTTAAAAAGATTGATTTTAGGGTGGTGCCTATGGCTCAAGGGAGTAGGGCACCAGCCCCATATGCCTGAAGTGGTGGGTTCAAACCCAGCCCCAGCCAAAAACTGCAAAAAAAAAAAAAAGATTGATTTTAAAAACTATGTAATTAAACATTATTTCTAAGAGTTGTTATCCACTCTAGCTGATTTGAGTTACAGACGCTACAAAAAACACTAGATGCAGGTGCAAATGCAGAGAGAAAGGATTTAGTACAACCTTTATGGAAAAGAGTATGAAGATTTCTTAAGGAAATAAATGTATACTTACTACTTGATCCAACCACCCCACTGCTGGGTATTGTCACAAAGGAAAATATTATATATATATATTTAAAAAAAAAAAAAAAAAAAGACAAGTGCACTCAAATGTTTATCACATCACAATTCACAATTGCAAAGATGCAGAATCAACCTAAGTGCTCATCAACTCGTAAGTGGATAAAGAAAATGTAGCGGTGAGTACTTCCAGGGAAGTACTACTCAGCCATAAAAAGGAATGAAATTCTGTCATTTGCAGCAACTTGGGAGGGATTGGAGACCATTATCCTAAGTAAAGTATCCCAGGAATGGAAAACCAAACGCTCTATGTTCTCACCAGTAAGTGGGAACTAAGCGAGGGGTGCACACAGGCATGAATCTGTATAAAGAGCATGAGAGATATTACTCAACGATCTTACTCAGAAAGGGGGGAGAGCAGAAGGAGAGGATGAAGAATCACATCTTATCTACTGGGTGCAGTGAATGCTATTCTGGTGATAGCACACCAAAAGCCCTCACTTCAGCGTGATGCGA